TTTCAATTACAATCCAGATTACTATGCCAATTGCATTACATCCAGATTACTATGCCAATTGCATTACAGAATATGAAGGGGTGACTAACACTGAATAGAAACAATATACAGTAGGAAAGTTATGATATAAAATGCTCTGACCCAAACTGGAAGTTCAATCTTCCCTTTATCAATTGCTAGTGAACCGTTTTATTTGTTAGTTTGCTTTCAGATACATTATGTATAATTCACAGAAGTAACAAGATGCATATAGAAGATATATATCACATTAAGAAAAATGATCATGGTTTGAGGAAGCTTAAAGCACCAATATGGCAATATCCCTCTAATCCATTTACTTATACATGTATGCATCAATCTCAAACATCTATACTTAAAACTTGAACAAAGATCCAATTGCTTGAAAACAATGCTGATTATTTTCTCTACAATGACCAAAACATGGGCCACTGTCCGCCACAACTCTTTCGATTGATTTCCTCAAACTGTTAGCTACAGCTCAAAGAGCAGATCCTTCACTTCAAATTTTTATAAGTTAAAAATGAAAATAAAATGTCATTCAGAAAACAACAAACCGTGTGGGATGTACTTTTATGCATTTTAATTTGCAAACAGGGGATTTTAACAACTCTTCCAGGCTCAGGCATTAATTCACCATTTCATCACTTTAACTTCTCAATGCTTTTATCCTCCACACTTTTAGGGGGAGAAAACTCTATTTGAAAGGAAGAAAGAAAATCAAGACGAGGAAATTAGATTGATTTTTTACTGCTCTCTCTTACATGATATCTTATATTTGCTTCTAATTAGGACCTCAGCTATTCAGTAGCACTTTAAGGTCAAGATCCAGGACCAAAGCTATATTCTGCCATAAAATATGACTAAACAAAAGTAGGCAAAGTGAAGTTTACCTGAGATTTCCAATTAGATTCGGCGTTCTTCTTCTCACGACTCACTGTTGAATCGTCCTGAAAACAACACCAAAAGAAACAACCACTGGTTCAACTGAAAATCCTAATAAAAAATCACATCCAGGAATTCATTGAACGAATACGCAAACACGCGGGCGCAGATATAAGATTGATGAAGGTGAGAGGGAGATTGACCTGATCTTGAGAAGCGCGAGTGAAGCCAGGAGGGTCGGGGATGTCGCGAGAGGAAGGGGAGGTTGAATTGTCGGTGAAGTCGACGGCCCATCTGCGGCCCATACCCATCACTGCTTTTCCCTTCTCCATCTCCGTCGTAAAGCAATGGTGGTGATGTCGTCGATCTCGTCTCGTCTCAATTCTTTTATTAAGCGGTTTAGGCGTGAGACGGTGAGAGCCGTCCTGCACTAGAGGTCTAGTGCACTCTTTAAAATTACACTTCAATCCTTGGATTTTTTTAGAAAATTTATACACAAAATCAATTAGCATCTAAACTTTTAAAATTAACAATTAAACTCATTAACATGTTGTTTTAATGTATCAAAATTTAAGAACTGATTATTAACATGTAATAGTAGGTCATTAGAATTTTGAAAAGACTCTGATGACTGACAACGGTCAATAACCGGAATCTTAGTGACCTGCTAATGTAGGTTAATAATCAATTCTTGGGCTTCAATACATGAAAATAACATGTTGAAGAGTCTAATTGAAATATTTAAAAGTCCAAGACTTAATTGACTTTTCGTATAAAGTTTAACCATTGAATAAAATCTTAATAGAATATTTTAACGAAAATTTGAAATTTTACTCCAAAAAATGTTATTCTCATTTTTTGTCTCACGCTTATGAGATCATTTTCATATTTGGTCCCACGACGGTTAAATCATTGTCACATTTGGTTCCTCTAACTTAATTTTCAATCACCGATGACTTATCTTAAAAATAAAATTGTCATTTTTCTATTACTTTTTTCTTAAACTTCTCAAAGAGGGGCCAAAACTAAACATAATAATTTTGCTTTTGCTTAAATTTTGGTCACCAATAATGATCTAAAATTAGGTCTAAAGGACTAAATTTGACAATAATTTAAAATTCATAGGACCAAATGTGACCAAATGAAAATAATTTCATAATCAAAAGTGAAAAAAAAAATAAAATAAAAATAAACCTCCTCCATAAATTACAATATAGGCAACCACTATGTCACCTCTTTAATCTTTAAATTTTTTTTTTTTGAAGGCTAATCTTTAAATTAATTTTCAATAAAATAACGATTTTCAATTCCCTATTTATAGTTGTGTTAAAATATGTTTGATATAATGTCAATTATACATGTTTTTATTGGTAATTTGAATCAATTTGAAAGCTTAGAGGCTGTTTACTAATTGAAAATTTCTGGAAATTTTCGAAAACTAGAAAATAGAAAACAGAAAACAGAAAATATGTTTACTAATACAGTTTTTCATTTTGAAAACTGAAAATAATTTCTGAAAATTTTTGGAAAACTGAAACACACTTAAAAACTGTTTTCGAAATGGAAATAGAATCATCTATTATCTATTTAGTTATATGTCACCACATTACTATGAATACATTCATTATCATCTTATTTTACTTATCACTATCTTCTATCTTTTCTACTTTACTTATTTAAACATAATTTATTTGCTTACACTTTAAAGTTAGACATTATTTACATTATCAAAATTAAGAATTAAACTCTATATAATGTTTTAGATTTTGATTGAACTCAATAGATTATTAGTTCGAATATTTTTAATTATGTTACATCATAATACAAGGTTGGTCCAGATATCGGATATTGAAATCTCACATATATTAGAATTCAAATTAAAAGCTTAATATTCATATACATGTCATTCAAAAGAATATATCCCAAAAAAAAATATTTTAAATATTAGCTCAAAAAATATTAATATTATCTAAACTAAATTTTAGGTGAAAACTGAAAAATTAGAAAATAGAAAAAAGAAAATAGAGAATAATTTTCTGTTAGTAAACAAGTTTTCTAAACAAAAAACAGAGAATTGAAAACAGAGAATGAAAACTGAAAAATTAGAAAACAGAAAACAGAGAACAATTTTCTGTTAGTAAACGGACCCTTAAGTTCATTAGATTGGCATGTTCAACACCTATTTTCCTTGCTTTCTCATTAGGATATGGTTTTACACTTGTTTTGAATGTTTTACGGTGTTTGGTAGTGTTTTTAAATCATTACGGGACAAGTGCAAAAGCAAGAGATGTCTTTCAAGCATAAGTGGAGTCAAAATGAAGTAGGATTGAAGGCATCGTGGGTTCGACGCGTCCAAAAATTTCAGTAACCAAGCCTGAGCTGAGATTGAAGGCTCGACGCGTCGAGAATTTCCAGTACGCGCCCCTGAGGACTGCTTTGAAGACTCGACGCGTCGAGATCGCGAATTCCAAATTTTTGACAGGCGCGAAATCTTCCTAAATTGCCCCCATTTGGTTCCCACTATAAAAAGACTACCTTCCATCAACCCTAGTGTTCAAGCAGCGTTTTGGAGGCAAGAATAGAGCAAAAAGCAAGAAGATCCACATCAAGAACAACAATTGGCTTTGGAGTAGAGAAAGCGCTAGGAAGATTCGGGAGAGTTCGTTCCCTTTTTCTTTTAGTTCAATAGTTGATTGTTAATTCTCTGAAATTGTACTGAATGCTATTATGGCCATGAGTGGCTAAATCACTTTAGGGATTTTTGGGTGAATGTGTTTATGAACCTATGTGCCTTGAACTTAATTTCATTAATATATTTATTTATGTTTGGTTTTATTGCTTGTGTTGCAATCGTGAATCATACTGTTGTTGCTAGTGATTAAATGCCTAAATTACTTGCTCCATGGCCATATTCATGTCATAACGGGAGTTAGGCATAATTAGGGCACACACGATTGCACTTAACTGATGCACCTTGGGAAATGGCAAACTTGTTGAGGAATTTATTGTAGATTATTGCACATCGGGAGATGGTAATAGTTAAGAATTTATGAATGCATGATCTTATTCTTATTGAGTGCTTATATTACGGGAGTGAATAGTCACTAAGGTCAGAGATTACGAGAATAACTCTATACCACCTTTGCATTCTCACACTAGTTTAAACCCAAACTGAATATTGCATCATTGATTGGCACTAGGTGATTAAACACTTGGATCCCAAGAATCCTATTTTTGCTCTATTGTTTTCAACAACCAGTTTATTTAGTTTATTCTGCTAGTTAATCTTTTACAATTGCCAAATCATCTTTTTCGTTAGGATTAGCTTCTCGTGAGTAATCTAGTAGCTAGTTCTTAGTATCCCACTTCTATGTGGATCGATTACCCGATACTCTGGGTATTATCTATTTGCAAATAAACTACAATCAAATTGGCCTGGCGCCGTTGCCGGGGACGTGGTGTTTTAGTATTAACATTAGCGAAAGTTTTATTCTAGGAGTCTAGTCTATTTTTACTTTTATTTTATTTTAGCTAACCGATAACGAGTTTCTTGGTTGAGTTGCGATTTTGTGATTTGCGGACTTGGAATTGTATGCGCACTCGGTCTTCAGGGAGCGAAGGATTATTGCCTTTAATTGCTTCAGATCAATTTGGAGGGTCGCCAACAGATGATCCCAATGCCCACATCGCAAAATTCCTGAGGATCTGTAACACTTTCAAAATTAACGAAGTCCCTCATGAAGCTATCAAGCTTCGCCTTTTGCTACCCCCATTGACACTCCTACACCTAGTTATATATCCGTGGTACTATACAAACTTAGTTCCTATGTTATATCGTGACTATCTTTAATCCCTAAATTATGTTCGAAGTAACTTTTTAACTACCAATACATCACTTAATAAAGTGACTAATTTGATCATTCATGACTAAAATTGTCACTTTATGTATAACTTAGCGGTTAAAGATGGTCACGCATTTAGCTCAAGGATTAAGTCTCTACTATGAGTATAAATGAATGACCAAGATCGTCAAACACTATTAACTTTCATCATCAGCTACTATGAGTATAAATGAATGACCAAAAATGTAATTTTTTCTAAAATAAGATCATAATAATAAATAAACAAGATCGTCAAACACTCTTAACTTTCATCATCAGCTACAAATATTAAACACTTAACAACAATACCACACTATACTTTCACAAATTTCTTCCAAAAGACTGAACCCCGACCCTAAGGGCCCCCACATCCCGGCCCGACAAATTTAAATAATACACATAATATATAGTTTACTATACATAGACTTAAGTAAACATCCATGGTTTGTAATTTATATAAATATGAGTATGCATGATATGATGTGGTTTTTCATGTTGAAGTTGAGGAGTGATTCCGGAGTTTGATGAGAGTAATGAGAGTGGTGATGATCATAAGCAGGACAGCAATGAAAGAAGCAATAATGGCGCCGGTTCCGTGGTCGCAAAAGGTGTCGAATTTGTCACAAATTCTGCTCCATCTTGCATGGGAATTCCCATCTCGCCCAAGTTGCCCCATGAAAGCTGCGGCGCTCATTCCACCCGATACTAGACCCACGTTCACCTACACATACATGCCAAATTTCCACATGTTATAACAGAAAATAATGGTTGTGTTTGGTAACATAGTTAGCTTATCAGTCAATTTTGATTTATTTGATCACTATTAATTGTGTGACTTGATTAAACAATCAATACCAGTGTTTGATTAATTAGTTTTTTGTAACAATTTATTACTTTAAAAATGTTAAAATTCAAAAAACTGCTCAAAGTAACTTTTTTTATCAACTTTTTGAGAAAGTCATTGTAATCACTGCTAACAGCTAGTTTGCTAAACATTTTTCTACAACCAACTAATAATATCAACTAGTCAAACTCGATAATCCAATCAGCTAACAGCTATTTACCAAACACCACCAATGCCTCAAACTACTAATAACAGTCACATTTAGATAATGGAATAATGGATTCATTTTCAATTGAACCTATTGGCATTTTTAATCTATAGAAATTAGATTTTGCCCTCAACTTTAAGATGATTTTTTATTGATGTAGAGCATTGTTTTTTCTTGCTTTTTTCCTCCTGCAATGTAAAGTTTTTTATGTGTCCCATTCAAGAAAGAAGTGGCAGCAAAGCACTGACTTTGTGCATGTTGGGCGCACATTCAGCGCTAAGCGGGCGCGTGCAGTGCAAGCGGCCGTTAGCGTGTCTGCTGCAGCTTTTTATTTTTTATTTTATTTTATTTTTTTTACTTTTCACCAGATGTGTCAGACTTTTGTTTTTGTTGTTTTCCTTTTTTCCTTCTCCTCTTTGTTTCTTCTCTCCTTATTGGCACATAAAAAATCATAAAAAATACCTAGTCGATGTGGTTGCTCTAAGTTTCTAGACAAATTTTCACATTTGATCTTGAGACAAACTTTAATAACACACCCTGAACAAATTTTGAGTCTATTTCACCCCAAACTTGGAGCGAACTTCTATAGCACACCGATCAAACCTCTTGTATAGTACTAATTAATAACGTAACCATCATACCTATATATAAGTTGACGATTTTAGTTTGGCTAAATCTATATATCTTTAAGTAACTAGACACATTGTAATGATTTTGACCTAAACTTTTTTTTTTTTTTAAATATTAAATTGTTGTGGTTTTTGGTTGAAAAAGTTTAGGTCATATGTATACAGCATACCATACGTAAGATGGAGATGGGACAAATTATATCGTTCATCGCGGTGCATTATCGATTATGCACTGCGCATCAAAACGACATCGTTTTGTTTAATGAAAAGAAACGTCATCCGTTTTACGTCGTTCCGCACCCTTCCGCAAAAAGTAACTCTGTTATTTAGTTTCATTTTGTATACTATACTCTGCAATTTCAGTTCAACAGAACTACAGTTTCATTTCGATATAACTATAGTTTCATTCGATATTTATAGACTCAAATATGTGAAAATGTTATTTAATTTTATTTTATATACACTATAGTTTTATTAAAATACAACTACATGATCATTTTGATATAATTAGAGCTTCATTGTACAATATATACTCAAATATGTGAAATGCTATTCAGTTTCATTTTATATACATTGCAGTTTCATTTCACCACAACTACAGTATCATTTTGATATAACTGCAGTTTCATTTGATAATATAAAAATAATACGTGAGGCAGTGTCAGTTTAGATATATTATTATGTCAATTTAGATATATTATTGTGTCAATTTAGATACATTATAGTCTCAGTTGGTAATTAACATACAAAAAAATACGCGCTTCGTTAACACTAATGACATGCCGTTTCTTTACTTAAAAAACGGCGCATTTTTTATCGCGGTGCACCGTGGTCCACGATATAACGATACTGGAGAATGGAGATGGAGGGGTAGCATGTATATTACCGTATCTAGAAGTGCAAGCAGAAGGAGGCGTATCCCCTTAAACTTGAAGTCATACTTTGGCCCAATTACTTCAGTCACCAACATCAGCAAGTTATGAAGGCTCCCAAGTCCATTTGCTATCACAAAAAACCTGCAATATATATAATGCAGTGTTTGGTAAATAGATGTTAGCTGATTGGGTTAGTGAATTTGACTAGGTGATAACATTAGTTGATTGTAGAAAAGTATTTGGTAAATTAGTTGTTAGCTGATAGCTGCTTACATACAAAATGACTTTTTTAAAAAACTGATTGAAAAAATTATTTTGAACAGATTTTTGAATTTTAGCATTTTAGAACGTACAATAAGCTGTTATAAAAAGCTAATTAAATAATCACTCATATTGATTGTTTAACTAAGTCAAACAGCTAATTGTGGTGAAATAAATCAAAATTGACTGATAAGCTAATTATGTTACCAAACATGACCAATGTATGTGTCATGTCTGCAACAAATTAAATTAAATGATGGAGTTGATGAATTACATACAGAAATGCTGGAGTGTGTTGGAATTTGGCAGTGAGAGTGGCTTGGATGGGAGTTGTGCCAATGGTGGCCACCACAATGCTTTTCTCTTCCTTGTTCATAGCCATCACCACCGTGGCCGCCACCGTCCCAAACAGTGCTAACACCCTCACCACCAAGCCGCCGATCACCCAATAATGATCCCTTGCCTTTTGTGCCTCTGCAGGGGGAGGCTTTTCAACTCCATTTTCTTCTGCCATTTTATCTATATATATGTAGACCAGATTGCTTGGTCACGTTGGTGTAGATAGATAGAGATCGAACTAGAGATGGAGATATATATATGGCTAGCTAGCTAATTTAATATATAGAATGGAGAAACTTACAATGCATAAATTTGTTGAATAAATTGATGAGCAAGCAAAGCATTCTGATTTTCTTGGGTTTGACAAACCAATCTGCAACAACTTATAGTATATCATCATGGGAATATAATCTAGATAGGTTGCTGAAAATTTGCTAAATGGATGCACCCGCCACCATTAAACAATAGAATTATTAATAATCAGCACTAGCTATATATAATACTTTACTGCTTTGCTTGCACAAAACACTTTTCTCTACAACACCACAAGAAAAGATAGATTTGGAAAACAAACCTACTAAGTTGGCTATGGGAAGAAGATTAAGTTGTATCATCTAACAAAATCGTACCAAACAACATTGTAATTCTAAGATAATAAAGACGATGCCCAAACTATTAATATAAAATCTATCAAAGATTTTATTTTTAATAATACTTTTTTGAAAGTTTATTTTTAATAATACAATTATATTAAAATTGCAATCTATTGTCAAGTAGCTTGTAGCGCTCTCCTAAATAGGAAGTCACAAGTTCAATCTCCACATTGACGACTCTTTGTGCTTCGTTAGGTTATGAACATATATTATATTATAATAGAATTAGTAGTACTTAAAAAAAAAATAATCAATCCATTAATTGATAACAAAAACACAAACAAAATTTAAAGATAATTCAGACTAACACAGAATTCTTTTTGCTCCAAACATATAAATAATTAATAGATGAATATCCCTACCCAAATAATCGAAAACCAATAATAATAATCCTACAAAGAGAAGTAACACGACAACCCCATTGGCAATTGGAATTGCGCCAAAATCATAATCATAATAAAATTATAAGAGTAATATAAATCAAAGAGTTCTAACTTCAAAACTTGAGTACGAATAACTATTATTATCATTTCTCGCCATATTTTATAGTGTTGTAAATTTACCTACTTATTATTGTCTGAAGTAAAGGAAAAAAATATAAGATAAATCCTGATTTACAAAACAAACTAAATATTTAATAATGGGATCTCAAGGACATCTTGGAATAATGAATCTAACTGCCCTGTCAAATGTCTAGCATTTAGGGTTAGTGTTCAACTCCAACACTCAATCATACACCAGCCATAACCACAAAATAGATGCAATAATCCCCATGGCATGGTTTTCTTGAAACATTATGTGCATCACATTTGATTAAACTCATACTTCAAATGGTACAGATATATGTTCTTCCACTATATAATAGAGGGCAAAATCACATCATGAAAATGTAATATCCGTAGCCATAATTCCGACGATGAACAATCAAACAAATTGCTCAAGTCCCAAGCGCTCAATCATTTGGAAGATGTGAACTCGGTTCAAATTTCACCCAAGAATCTTCGTAGATGAATTGCATGCTTTATAATATTAAACTACAAATTATTACATATATAATATGTACCATCCATCTCTACACTCATCTCTCCAATAAAGCAAGCCACATTCCCAAACGCCATCACTAATGAGACCAACAGGTGGAATTCTTGTTTCGTCGAAAGGTCTATGTTGTCGTTGTCACACCAACAACAACATTGCTCACCTATAAAGTAAACAAATAGTGTTATTCAAAACATAAATGGCATGGATACAATTGAAGCATGTGCTCCATCTCAACAAAAAGCCTAAGCTCATAGTTGGATTGCACATTAATAGTTATATGCCCAACACGCCCCCCTCACGTGTACAGTGGGTTTCAAGCAACACGTGGACCGTAGTCGCTTATCGGGTGACGCATGACCTTTGGTCTGATTCTGATACCAAATTGAAGCATGTGCTCCATCTCAACTAAAAGCCTAAGCTCATAGCTGGATTGCACATTAATGGTTATATGCTCAACAGATACAAGGTATGAGATAAAAGATGAAGTAAAGGGGGAGAAATTAAACCAACCAGCTTCCCACTTTCATCAACAGACATGGGGTTTTGAACAACAACAGTTTGATTCTGAGAACGGGGTGCAGCCTGCCGCAGATAAAACAAGGAGTTCACATATGAATTCTTATCAAAATGGTTTAAGATGCAATTGGTGTGAGTAAAATACAACAGAGTAAATGCTTACTGTGGAAGAAGGTGGGGCAGATGAAGATGTAGCAGATCCATTAGGTGGGTGGGAAGGAATGGGCACTCTCGCATCTCCCGCCTGTGAAGTGATATATAATTATTATTATAGTAGTAACAACAATAACAATAATAATAATAGAGTTAATACCTAAAATGGTCCTCAACTATAGTGGTTTTTCTCAATTTCGTCCTAAACAACTTTGGTGACCTAATGTAGTCCCAGAATTTTGTGTTTTTGCTCAATTTAGTCCTCCGTTTGTTATTTCGTTAAATTGGTGTAAAATAAAGTTACAATTTAGTAATCTCAATATTGACCTCTCTTTACTCTTAGCCCTGTGAAGTGCGAAATCCCTCTTTCTATTACAAATTACTCCCAGACCTGCGAATCAAATTTTATATTCGCAGGTTTGGGAGTAATTCTAAAAGTAATTCGTAAAAGAAAAAAAAATCCGCACTTCGTAGATTTAGGAGTAAAAAGATCTCAATATTGAAATTAGTGAATTGTCCCTCTATTTAACACCAAATGGACAGAATAACAAACGGAGGACTAAATTGAGTAAAAACACAAAAGTCTGGGACTACATTAGATCACCAAAGTCGTTTAGGACAAAATTGAGAAAAACCATTATAGTCGAGGGCCATTTTGGGTATTAACTCAATAATAATATGCATACTATTATATACATATACAGGATTATAGATGGCATCTGTAACGAAATACAACACTAGAAATCTGAAGACTGTATAGACCCATTAAGTTGTTAAAACCATTCTATATAGCATGCACAAATTAATCCAATAGATATAAGCATTAGCCGATTCTGTTGCCTCAGACTTTTCTGTTAAATAGTTTTTTTTTTGTTAAATAGTTAAAATACAGAAAGTTTCAAATTCATGTTTACTTAGAAATGCCCAAGTTTTTTTTGTTGGATTTAACATGCACCACTTAACCACTTTATTCTTTATTGAGCAAATTTCAATTCTAGTCCTCGACTATTGTGGTATTGCCACATTTAGTCCTACTCTTTTAATTTTTGCCTTATAACATCTTTGACTTTCATTCACTTGCCACAATTAGTCCACCATTTAAATTTCTGTCATGCCACCGTTTAACAAAGAGAACTAACATGTAATTTTATCATTCAATTAAAAGAGTTAACAAGAGAGGGACAGAAATTACATGTTGAGGGCAAGAGGCCTAAATGATGAAATTACATGTTAACTCTCTTTGTTAAAGGTGGAATAACAAAAGTTTAAGTGAGAGACTAATTGTGGCAAACAAATGAAAGTAAATGACGTAATGAGGCAAAATTAAACGAGTAGAACTATGGCAACAATAGTTAATGACTAAATGTAGAATTTGCTTTTTTTTTTTTTTTAATCCATTATTGCTGTTTTAAGGCTTCCAATCTTTTCCCTCAAATAAGATTATTGAATAACATAAACACTGTTAGATACTTAGATTATCTATTGCAGCCTCTCATCTGCACTATATATATATATATATATATATATATATATGTCTTTAAGAGTGCACTTCTCATTTCACGCTTCTAATATGAGTTCAGACAACTAGAAAGAAAATCATCCTAATTACTTTGTAGATCAAATAGCTCTCTAAAAAACCTCCTGACTGGAATGTTTCCTAAAAACAAAGGTAAAAAGGGAACCATTTAAATGTTTTTTCTTCAACTCTCATACTATAGCTCATTCTCTTTTTGTGTTTCACATGATCATATCAAAGACGAGATCTACAGTACATGGTTCAAAAAAAGAATCAAATTTACATCCTTTGACATGTGTGACAATTAAACTAATTAAATTACTGTGTTACAAGCATTGCGAATATTAGGAGATTGTGGTGGAACATAATCAAAATACCGCACAAGTGCAGAGCATACAAACACACTTAACCTTCATAACCTATAAAAGTATAGTATTATCTAATCTAAATTATAACTGAAAACTAGAAAACGCACCCATCAATCACTAGTTTTACTAAAACTTGTGGTTCAAATGTTCAATTATCAAACTTTGCCATTTTAATTTGGTCCTTTCTAATAATAAAATCCATGCAATTATGCTTCATTTGCAAGGATCGTATGATGCCATTGATATGAATTATTACAATTTATGATCTTCCCATAAATATTTCATATATGAAAAGTCAATGGCTAAACAAAATATAGCACTCTACACATCAGTCACAATTTATGATCTTCCCAAAATATTTCATAGCACATACACCCAGGTTGAGGGCACTCAGTCATCCACACTTATATGATTCATCCAAACCCATCCTTTGATTCCTTTCTCATCTCAATCCCAAACCTTTGACCTTAACTTACTACACTTCGACATTTACTCAAGTTCAACTACTCATCCCACATACCCCATCAATTTCTTATAACAAAAACAAAGGCTATCTTGTTTTTGCATTTTTAACCTCCATCTCATATCACACACCACCCCAGTAATCATATCAACAACCCCACCCAACTTTTATTACCAACCCCACATGGCCACATCTACATCATTTGACACCAGTCATCCACACCTTATATGATTTACCTCACCCCTCTTCAACTCATCTCCTTTTACTCCCACCCGAAAACCTTTGACTTAATGTTTCATATACACTACAATTTGACCTTTACTCAAGTTTGGCTAATCACCCCCACCTATCCCTACGTACCAACTCACCTCACCCCATTTTTAAGCACACCGCACCTACCACCTCCTTTGATCTACCTACCTTAGAAAACCTTCCATCAATGTCATCTTTATAAAACACACACATTCACAAATGGCCCAACAAATAGTCTATGCCTTTTCATTTATGCGCTTTCTTTGGGTACATCCATGAAGTGCATCCCATTTATGCGCTTTCTTTGGGTACATCCATGAAGTGCATCCCACATTCCCATGCAAGCACACCATTATCATTTATCAGAGAGAGGAACCAAGGAGAAGGTAATAGGTATAGGCCCTGTTTGGTAAAAAATTGGCCTATAGGCCAATTTTAGCTTATTTGACCACTATTAATTGTTTGATTTAGTTAAAATATCAATACAGATGTTTGGTTAATTAGCTTTTTGCAACTCCAAAAGGCTAAAATTCAAAAAGCTACTCCAAGCAACTTTTTCAATTAACTTTTTGAGAAAAGAAATTATACCAAACAGCTATTAGCTAACAGCTAATTTACCAAACACTTTTCTACAATCAGCTAATGTTATCAACTATTTATATCATCTAATTAACACAATCAGCTAACAGCTAACAGCTATCAGCTAAAAGCCATTTTACCAAACAGGGCCATAGTAACATAATTTTGTTGCCCAATGATTGAAAACCATAAATTGCAGAGGGTACATAAAAAGTATACTCACATTAACATTGGTGATGAAGTGACATACTGCACACTTAACTGATGGAGCTCCACATGGATACATCAGCATTGTACGACAGTTCCCACAATTGATATGAGCAAACTGATTTGGTCCTGTAAATCAGCATCTAATCACATTAAAGAAAGGAGAGGAGAGGGGGAGAGAGAAGAAAACATAAAGATCACATCTAGAAAACAATAAAACCTCAAGCTAAAACAATTCTATCTAATCTAGGAACCCTCTTAACAAGACTAAACTTTAAGTCATAAATCCCTTTAAGCCTCACCACTCATTTCATACTCTCTGGGGCATCTCCACAATTTAGATTCACTCAAATGGCTGCTGATAATTGAACATCACTATAATCCAGCTTCAGTTCCCATATTACGGTATTACACTTTGCAATAAATTAGCCTCATTTGTTTACTGACTACTGTTGACCCTCAGAACATCCAAATTCCAAATGAGGAAGAAACTTTTCACAGCATCATTTAAACAATTGATTAATATGTAAATTACTAAATTCCATTATTTTATTATTATTATTATTATTTATTTATTTTTTAAAAAGTCAAGATACATAGTGATATTTGCTTATATAGCATCAAGTCCATCAATAATTGCCATAATAATACACAGATCTTATTGGATCTAACACAATGCTTAATTGATAAAATACATTTCCAAGAAAGTGAAACAAATCAAAAAAGAATTAGAAAAAAAAAAAAAATCAAAATACAATTTACTTTTTCAGATAGAAAAAGTTACAGCATTTGTAATGAAGTTCAAATTTTTTTTATCAATACAATTTCTTATAAGCTCATGTAGTTTGAGAATATCATAAGCTGGGGTAATTAACTTGTGCAAATTAAGGTTTCTTTTCAACATCACAGAACATCTTCTTCCACCAAACAAAAGTAAAGGGCTTCTCTGGACTTCTGGAGCACAAGGAATATTAGTGAGGCCTTTAGAATGAAGTTAATTAATGGTAAAATGCAATGCAGGAAATGAAATTTAAGGTGTAATTCTCTCTAATCTAGGAACCCTCCTACTTTGCCTAAAATTTAAGTTGAAAATCCATTAAAGCCTCACCACTCATCTAATATTATCTGGGACATCTCCAGAATTTATATTCACTCAAATGGCTGCTGATACTTGGACATCACTATATTCCAATTTCAGTTCCCATATTGCACTTTTACCACAAATTAACTTCAGCATTTACTGACCACTCATTTTTCCACAGATTCATTCAACATCAATCCAGAGCCAAAGAAAATATTACAAGGAATATTCATTTCCTGAAGCAATACAAAAGTTCATTGATGTAGAATGAATCAGTGGAAAAATAAAAAGGGAACTTCTGTGGTTTATCACACACATATTGTTTAGATTAGTATCACAAAAATGGAAAAATCAGCTTAGTTTTGCAGACGTGTACTGTGTTTCTAGGTGGTGGGCAAGTAATATTATGGAATGGTAAAATTCAAACAGAACTACAAGAGCTGGTAGTCAAATATGTAAAATTGGAAAATGGTGGAAAAGTAGGAAATGGTCTAGAGGTTAACGATGGTGTTTAACACTCTGATCGGAACCATGCAGCATAAGAGAAAACTTCTTTTATAAGTAAATGTGAAAAACATAGCCAATTTGGTGCTGAAGAAATATTACAAAGAGCATTATACTTTTAGAGACCATAGGTGTCCATAAATTTCACTAAGTCATCCATTACTTTCCTTTAGGCCAAAAGAGTAAAACTGATCAGAATCTAGTCCTAATTCTATGTACAGAAGTCTAATCTTTCAAAATATTTGCTATTCATGCTTCATGGTTCTCCATAAGGATCATATTGTGCAAAGGGTTGTTTCCACATTTTTCAAACAAAAAAGATCTATTCATAAGTCATTATATCATCTTGGAATTGATTATATACTAGACATATAACATATTAGCATTCAAGCTCTGTGACAAATCTTTTTAGCAACCCAAATTTAACTGGTTACCAGTTGCAATACATTATATCAAATTACTGTATCTATTCTTTCACTCTCCACTTACAGATACATTTCAAATATCTCATAATCAATCGCAGATCAACAGCATAGAACATAACTAGAGCTTAAACTTCTATTAACTTGAGGAGCAACATATGATGCTAATCTCGCTCAAACATCATATTATGACATTTCAACAGTCAACACTTCCAACTTTGTGAATCACCCATTTTTATAAGTTAAAGTAATTTTATTAAATTAAAGGAAACACATAAGTGATACAAAAGACTCACAGTGATCGAATTAGGTTTAAAACCCTCAAAAGATCAACACACATATCCATACCTAGGAAAACACATTCTTTTGATAATCACACATGACATTCCAACAGAAGAACAGAATTATTCACCATGCAGATCTAGGTTAGTCTTTATGTCTAGTCCTTTTTTTATAACCATACTAAATGTTAATCTTCCATATCATATGAAAATAAATCTTGATATTCTTACCAGGCACAAGGTTCACCGTATGACAGCAGGAGCATCTTACACTGGTTGCTCCCCGTGGATGCATCAGAAGTGTGCGGCAACCCCCACATATCAGTTGAGCCATCTGACCCATCTCCATTCCTTCATAAAAGGCAATATTTTAAATAACATTGCAACGAACAGAAATTTGCTCATCCAGTATGAACTGAATCATGGTATTTCATGTAGCAAAGCCACTTTTAAAATGGCATCGGAGTAACTCATGGTATTTAATGTACATGTTTATTAAGATTTGTGAAAAACACTGAGTATTAAGTGAAGTCCTGAACAACTCTCCATTAAAATATTTGCTACCATGTAACAGTTAAGATGCATACTGTGCAGCCTAGTGTAAAATTAATGTGCATACATGAAACCTAATGATCAATGTAGAGTTGACATACCCAACAGTTTTCTCTCTCTCTCTCTCTCTCTCTCTCTCTCTCTCTATTTTCTTATATTTTGCTCTTCCTCCTCTTTTCCATTCTCCTATATTCTCTCGCAGGAATGAATTAGTAAGATCTTCAAGTCCAATCAAATTAAAATAGTTGCTTACACACATTATGCCAAATATATTGATGATTCACAAACACGGTCAAAATTAGATATAAGTAACCAAGACCAAACATTCACTTCTATTTTCTCTTCTCATCTTCCTTCAAAGAGGAAAGATTGAAACTACCCAACATTAAGGATCTTGTGACAAGAAGCAAATATACCAGGAGGCGGCACAGGAGTGAGGGCATTGCACACTGCACAGCAGACATTTGTAGCTCCTCTGGGATAAAGAAGAATAGTCCTACACCCACTGCAAACCAACTGGCTCTGCATATCTGCGCCAAATGCTACCGCATAAACCGATATTTCAAGTCCCGAAACTTTCTAATTACTATGGGAATTAAAAAACAAAATTCAATCTTTTGCTGATAATAGAAACAAAATTTCATTTTCAAGAAATCAAACTAAAATTTGAGAACCCCGAAAGAAAATTACAAAATCTAAAATCAGCTTAAGCCCATAAAGGAAAATCTTATGGAGAAGAATAACTCACCAGTGACGATGTGAGAAATCAGACGCCCGAACAGCTAAGTTTATATGCAAGCAAACACAATACAGACAACAAGCGATGGGCTATGAATCTCCAGAAATCCAACAGTGCGTATCCGATTCGATTCTGACGTGCAAATCTTATCCAAATTTCTTTATATTTTTAATTTATTTTCCTCAATGTCATGAACAACACACAAAAAGAAATGATACCCTTCTCCGTAAAAAAAACTACGGATTATGCACGAGTTGATATCCTTTTGACTTTCCAGGGAGATCAATTGATCAAAACTGAAAAGAAAATCAGATTCAACGCAGAAAATTATTGCGAATTGAAAACAATGGAAAGTAGCGATTACGATTCTATGGTGTTTGGTTTCTTTTTCCGGAGACACACACAGGATTTCTGGAGACAACCCGTTCAGATGGTGGTCTCCACATCTGTGTCCCGAGTCAAATTGGATATATTTATACAATTATTATTATATTAAGAAAATAAATTCTTATAATATTTTTAAATTTTCAGCTATAATACTTTCTTGTCTCATAAATTTCTGATTTAGTTAATGAAATTTAACTTAAATTATTTATAATTTTTTTTAATATTATTGATTATATTACAATATAGTATACTGAAGTACAAAGAGTCAATACTAGACCACAAAGTCATTAGTCAATCATTATTGTGTGGATCATATTTTGTATACTATAAAATGATATATATTTAGTTCAAAAATAATGTATTTTTAATATATTAAAAATGTACTTTGTATTCAGAGAAAGTACATTATTTGTGTACTGAATATATATTATTGGGAAAATGACACTTCCCCCCCCCCCCCCCCCCCCCCCCGAGTTATATACCTATAGCATTTTTTCCCCCTAAATTATTGAAGTGGTTGTTTTTCCCCCTGAAATGTTAAATGGACATATTTACCCTTAAACTAAATATTTAATTTATTTTTTTTCTCCAAGAAATTATGACTATAATTTGGTTCAAACCAAACAAACACTATAGCAACCAAACCGAAATATTCCAATTACAATTTATAACCGAAATTCGATATTTAGAGTTTATTAAAACCGTGAACCGGAACGGACGGTTCATGTTCCGAACTGAAAAAATAAAATACATTTATTGTTGAATTTAGACTATCTTAAAATAAAAAATAAAAAATAAAATTTTAAAATAAAGACGGTTTAAAATCGCGAATCGGATCCGGAACCGTCGGTTCACGGTTCAAGATTCAATTTTTTTGATACATAATTTTAATAAATTGACATTTAAATATTGGATTCTAGATCTGAATTATAACCGGAAACTATTAATTCGATTGCTTTAGTATCCGGTTCAATTCAAACTGAACCGTACGTGGTCATCCCTACGTATACGCAAAAATTTGTTGGAGTAGTAAAATAAATAAAATGTTTAGTTTAAGGTTATAAATGTCAATTTAATATATATCAGGGGGGGGGGGGGGGGGGGGGGAAGCACCACTTTTAGAATAATTGAGGGGGCTAATGTGCTTACCTAAATAATTGAGGGGGAAAAAGTGCTATAAGTATATAACTCAGGGGTAAAAAGTGCCATTTTCCCTATATTATTTTATATAATGTACATTCAGTACATTAATAATTTACTTTTAGTATATTAAAAATGTACTTTCTTTTATGGTCCATACAATATTATGTGGACCATGGTTCACACAATAATTTGCCGTCATCAGTAAATAATTAAAAATTTGTTTATAATTAATGTTTTAAAAATTTAAATTTATATATTAATATATAAAATTTATATATTTAAAAATTAAATTAAAAGTATTATTGAACATTAAGCATTCAAAAAAAAAAAAAGAAAGTATTATTGAACATTAAATACAAAAATTTAAATTAAAAAAAAAAAGAAAATAAACAAAGAAAAATAGAGAATTAATTTGACTAATACAGAGTAAATAATAAACATTATAAGTAAAATATGATGGATGCATTATTATTATTATTTTTTTTTTTTGTTAAAGTATATCAGTACAGGTAAGGAATAACATAGCACTGACGTTATTACTATCAAAATATGATATTTACATGTCAACTCATATATTATTTTATAAATATTTAAAATTAATTATTTTATTTTATAAATATTTAAAATTAATTATTTTTACCACTAATATGTTACATTAATATATTTAAAAATAAATAATTACATATATCCTCATATTGAAGTTTCAACATTCAACCTATTACATAACAAAGAGTATCCACTATCGCTTTATAACACACTTATCTTGTCATTTTATTGTAAAATATGATTAAATGTCACTATAAAACAGGGATGTAAAACATTTTATTTGTATTTAAAAAGTTTCAAAAAATTTGTAATAAATTAATATGTAACAATTTTTACATTTATATTAATGAAAGATTAATAATAATGAATGAATTTGTAATATTTTAATTTATTCTAATCTATAATATTTTAATAACTTACATTTTATATTTTATATTTTATATTAAAATTCATATTACTTATTAGCATATTAAAAAAATATTAACATTAATAAAATTTTATTTATGAATTGCGATGTTAATTTATTTTATTTGAATAAATTAAGTCACACACACACACACACACACACCCACACACACACACACACACACACACACACACACACACACACATATATATATATATATATATATATAATTTAATAATGTTAAATGTTAAAAATTAAAAATATGATTAAATTGAAATAGTAAAATTTAATCTTCATTATTAATATTTTTATCAAACATAAATTAAATTATTTTATTTCAATATATTATTTATCTTATGAAACTTCTTAATACAATATTTTTTTTACATATCCCATTTTATTTTGGTAGTTAATCATATTTTGAAATTAAATGACAAGATAAGTGTGTAGCAAAGTGGTAATGGGTAGTG